ATCGGTTATTTATAATTTAGAAGAACAATAAATCCAGTTTTTTACTTATGGCATGAGTCTCTTTTTATCCCAAGATTTGCCCACTACTTCTCGTTTGTGACCTCTTTTCAGTTGATAAAATCGGGAAAATAGGAATTGGTGACTAAGGCTTTGATATATGAGTAGCATAATGTTCAATAATGAAAATTGAAAGCGTATACGCGTTTACCAAGTTACCAAGTAAAAGGTAGTATGATATAATATTTGTTTCACTTCCCCAATCTCCCCTATATTATTTTTTTTTTATAAAAGACATGGCATTTACCGGCATCAGAATTGAATTGAAATAAATTATATTAGATAGTAATACTTTCAAAACTACTTACCATTGGCATAATTTCCTGCTAAAAGATTCTCAAAATGTAAAATTTTGTGAAGTACAACGAACCAAGAACACTTTCTTCTGCAACAAAACCACCGAAGTCTATCTTGTAAATACACATGGAACGAGGAGGCGCTATGACTCAGTGGTAGAGCAGTGGTATCATGATCGGAAGGTTCCGGGTTCGAAACCAAGTCGATACGCTAGACAAAGACCTTCTCAAATACAATCCCTCTGAGAGGACTTAAATCCGTCGGTCCACTGACTGCTTACCTAAACGCATGTACAATCAAATGAATCATCAAATCAAATTAAAAAAGAAAGAAAAAAAACGTGAATGCCACCTAACACTTTTAACACTACCTAGCGAGCGAGCACTTGGATGAAAACAATAAAAGTCAAATCGATGTAAAATATTTGCAGTTTTTCCAAAACACAAATCGCCCATGTCAGAGGTCCATAGTTCGGGGATTCAAAGTAGGGTTCATAATTCCGAACATTTGGTGCGTTTAATACTCCAAAGGTTCCTTTATCCAAAGGTTCCTTTATCCAAAGGTTCAAAATTCAGAGAGTGACAAAAATAATGGTTCAATATCCCAAAATGAAAGAGGGTTCGTTATTCCGAATGTTCGTAATTCCGAATGTTCGTAGTTCCGAAAAATAACAAAAGTTTCTATTTCATCTTCGGAAACACGAACCTTCGGGATTCTGACCGGTCGGAAAGAGTGACATGTAACCGTGCAGCCTATTATGGATGGGATAAAATGTATGTAATACTATAGATGCAAGCAAGCTGTTGAAGATGGAATTGAGTAGCTAGATGAAAGAAAATACTCTTAATTGCTTGAAGGGTTACACCAACAAAAGTGATCATGGATGGTAAAGCCTGAAAATAACCATAAGTGTGGATAAACAGTAGAAACTGGTTGTCCTGGTAGCAGGGGTATGCATGATGGCGCGGACGCTCACGGTGTTTTGCATGGCTGATGATCGATTTCGTGGTCAAGGCAAATCCGGTGAGAACCCACTTCCAAAATTAGTTAATACTCTAATCTAATTGTAGCTTCTGTCAGCCAGTGCATGTAACTGTATCTCATTAAACGAAACGTGTGTGAGGGGGGAGGATGCTGATCAACCTCTCCTCTATTCAATATCAGCGTCGGGTGGTTGATCACGCATGATCGGTACGAAAAGATATACCAATTACTCCATCGCTTGTTCTATACACTGTTAAAACAAGTATTAAAAAACTGCGGGTTAAAAAATTGTTGATTAAAAAACGCTCAACCATGGTTAAAAATGTAGTGTTGATTAAAGTTTACTTTTAATCTTGCGTTGGTTAAAAACACTATTGATCAAAATTATATCTTTTAACCTATGTTGGTTAAGTCTAAGTCGTTGGCAAAAAGTGTAACCCAGCATGGATTAAAAACAATATTCCGACAGTAATGATAGCCCCCTTCCGGTTAAAGTTTAATCAATGTTGGTTAAAGTACTGGTCACGTGACCAAACGGAACGATATCGAAGCGCGTAGCTAGCGATCGCTCGACATACAAAATAGTACGTGCATGCAAAGTACATGCAGTTTACGCGTGCGACAAAATTAACAATGGAGGTTGTCGCGAGGACCTGAGAAATGGGGGTTTGGACAGTCTTATCTCCGTGTTTTCAGGTAAGAAATTATTTAAATATTATATAAGATTGTAAGGAAGAAGTGAAATAAGGTTCTTGCTCAAATCAAAAACGATTTGTGTCCCGTAGGCTGTTGTACGTAGCTCAACCAATAAGTAGCGTTTTACTTGCACCGTGCACCTGGCTAACGTAAGCACACACACACACACACTCGTCAGTCTGCAAGAATCTTCAACAGTGAAGGAGGCAGACCCAATTAAAGAAGGAGAAGTGTAGGCCTATTACGGATCACCTACCCAAATTGCATGCATAAATAATAATCTAATTTTTTTTAAATCTAATTGTATCTAATTGTTTAAAACAACTAAATATAAAATAAGATGTCATCATAAAGTGAAACGTCTTCATACATGCAATTTGGGTAGGTCATCCGTTACACTTACTGGCTGAGCTACAACCTACGGGCTGGGACACAAAGCGTTTTTAATTTGAGCAAGAACCTTATTTCACTTCTTCCTTCCAATCTTAGCATTGATGATAATCATATTAAACAATTTCTTACCAACATCCTACCAACATCTTACCAACATCGTGTGAATAAAAAAAGAATTAACCTACAATGGTTACAATTTTAACCAACGACCCATGTAAGTTTAACCAACAACAATTGAATCAGCCCCGAACAAAGCATAAATAACCAACAAAAGATTAAAGTTTTAATCAACAAATGGTTATAGTTTAATCAACACCATTTTAACCAACATTGAGCAAATTTTTTTAACCAATAATTGATTAAAAATTTTAATCAACCACAGGTTAAATTTTAATCAACAGGCTGTTGATTAAAGTTTAACCAACGTGATTAAAAATTGTATTACTTGTTCTAACAGTGTATGGGAGTAATTATGCCTAATTGAACCGAACGCTTTCTATACATATTTAATTTGCACCTCAATGAAAAATGACTCAGGTGGAAAGACAAGACCTAATTACACTTTGTAGGTCAGTCCACCCTAATAATTAGCTAGTATTGTTAAGAGCAGAAAACGGAAAGCAACAAATTAGTGATTTTTTTTTTTTTTTTTTAAGTTATGAATTTATGAAGGTGCTTAGGCACAGTCAATCAAGCACAAATTGGTAACCCTCTGACGTTTCTTGCAAGGTCCCATACCGTTAACCATGTACTGAAAATATTTCAAACAAATCTTTATTTTCCCTTAAGAAATTGTTTAATCATACAATCACCTTAAATATAATTACCGCAAATAATTATGTTTTTAGATACGATATACAACCCCTGTATGCAACAAATCTATTCTGTCATTAAATAACTAATATATACAAACTAAAGTTAATGAAATTTTTTGTAAAAAGCAGGTTGGAGAGGAGCTTGCAAAATACGCCACGGTGTTGTAAAGTTATGTTCCACTGATGACAACTTCTTAAAATCATAACGTTTTTATTTTGATCGGTTTTTGCTCCAACTTTCACTAACCTCTCATGTTTCTGCTTCTGGACTTCCCTCTTAAGGTCGAGCCGTTTGTAACAATCGACCGATATATTAGTTAGATGTGTTCCTATACCATGTATACAAAGCATCCCAATAAAAAGGAAACCCAAATTTGACAATTTGCTGATAATCATGCCCTCTAGTTATTCTAGTTGTAAGACGACAATTATTTGAAATAAGGTTTGGGCACTGTGCAGCCTGGTACACTACATACTAAAGTATAGTATTTTCTCGAACTTATCTCTATCTCTCTCTTTCCCACTCTCTTTCCTTCTCTCCATGTTCCTCTATTCTCTTCTCTTCTCTCCCCTCTTCTGTCTATTTCTCTCAATTTGTTTCCTCTTTGACTCTCATTCTCTCTGTCTCTCTCTTCTTTTCCCTCCTATACTATCCTGTCTCTATTTCTCTCACTTGTTTTCTCTTTGACTCCCACTCTCTCTGTGTCTGTCTGTCTCTCTCTGTCTCTCCCACTCTCTTTCATTCTCTCCATGTTCCTCTCTGTTCTCCTCTCTTCTCTCCTCTCTTCTGTCTATCTCTCTCAATTTCTGTCTCTTTGACTCTCATTCTCTCTCTGTCTTTCTGTCTGTCTCTGTGTCTCTCTCTTCTCTTCTCTTCTATCCTGTCTCTATCTCTCTGATTAGTTTCCTCATCATCTCTTTTCTATCGTTCTATATATATTTTTTTCTACTAAGGTCTCTTCTTCCCAACCCCCCCCCCCCCCCCCCACTCGTTTCATTGACATCACCCGTACATCTATAACATTAATCAACAATTCTTAGTCTCAAATATAATGTGCTTTCAGTGACCATTTAATGACTTAGGAGTTAAATATTTCATTAAAAATCCCTCTATCAAGGTTGTCGATTTGTATCCGTGGTTGGGGGGGGGGGATGTTAGGTGCCAAAATATTTTCGGCAATGGATCAAAGCAACCAAGGATACAAGCGCGTGGCAGACTGCACGTACCCACCCTTCCCAGTTATTAACTTTTTCAAGTCACCCTCAATAAAGATAACATTTCAGAGAATATGGGACCCATGTGGGTCCCACATACATGGGCTTGCTACCTGGGTTATTATCTTCTCAAGCGCGTAGACAGGATTTTATTTTAGGGGGCGGTAGTAAGCACGCGAAGCGCGCTCCCTAGGGGGTGGGTGTAGGGAGGGGAGAGTTTTTCCCCTCCGGCGCGAAGCGCGTAAGCTTTGAGGTTTCATTAAATTATTAGAGAAAGAAGACGATTCCTTGTACCGTTCTCGACTCTTAATCCTTGTTTGAATCAAGTTCCCCTTCCTCCGCGCGTAGCGCGGAAGCTCTGACGTGTCATTAGATTATTAGTGAAAGAAGACGATTCGTTGTACAGTTCTCGACTATTAATCCTTGTCTACATTCAGTTTCTTTTGACGTTTCATTAAATTATTAAAGAAAGAAAGAACACGATTCGTTGTACCATTCTCGACTCGTAATCCTTGTCTGAATTCAGTCCCCCCCCCCCCCTCCGGGATCGACACCCATGCCCTCCATCAATCCCTCCCCGCAAACTCTAGACTAGTACTCGGTAAACTAACTACAATGAAAACAAAACGTTGTGAATTGAAATTAGATTGAAATTAGATTAGAAATAACAGAATTGGTGTTAATTATTATAACAAAGTTGTTTTAAAGTAATCCGGTAACATTGTTGATGGTTGATGAAAAAACTGCGTAATTTTGGTATGAAATATAACTGACTATATTCTTTCAAGTTTCAAAGTTTTTTGTTTCAGATTTCACATAAAGAGAATGCACATAAATGACAAGAATTAGAACATATATGAAATATACTCAAAGTATCACATTATATAATCAATTCTTTGATAAGACGTCGAAATGTAGGCTAGACAGGGTGAAATGTGGAATGTGACGACCCTATTAAAAAGCTATTAACCTATTAACAAACTATATTCCTTTTCCTGTACTCACCCTCTAACATGCAACAAATCCTGAACATTTCTGAAACCACAAACATCTTTATGGTTTCTTTGAAGGCGTCAATGTGCAATCCTCTCTTTGATTAAATTCTCCAAACCATTTAAAAAAAAAATTCCCAACCTTTTTTCCATGAAAAAACTTAAATAAGGCTGGTGTATAGATCAAATTCTTTTTTTGAGACAAATTACATTCACTCAAAATTTAATTATATTATAATAACATGGCGGGGGGATTTCGGAATCGATCACATCGGTTTTTCCAAATGGTTATCAAAACTAATTGCCTGTTTTCATTAATCTTTAAGAGTATCTTAATTGTACATCTAGTATTGAGTTTACTATATTAGCACCATTTTCTCTCATCTAAACAATGTATGTCTAAAGAATTCAGATGTAACATAACTATTTATTTTTTTACTTTAGTGTATTATTTGCTCCAACATGAATAATTCTTCAAAATGAATAATTTAGTATTCATAAAACCCTAGAAATACTACAGGCGCTAACCATGATTATAATATAGTTCATGGGGGGGGGGGGGCTATTGGCGCGTTCAAATCGTTTTCGAATATAACTTTATTCGTCTTCCTCCTTTAAAAGCATTCGCAAATGCAGGGCAGATATGGTAGGCAGAAACAAGGATGGTTTGGGCAGTCGTGGAAGTCACGTCTAAGACGGCCATACTCCTCCGCGGCCACGGGAAGCGCCCAGAACGTGATGCGGCCAGAGCAGAGGCCCCGGATGACCGGCCCGTTGGTGGCCTGGAAGTAGTCGACCGGGATCTGGCCGAGAAGGCGGTATTTCTCGATGTTAATCGCGACATTGGATATGTCGATCACCTGGGTGAAGATAAAAGTTTGGGGTGAGGCAATCGGTTTAATAATAATAATATTAATGATGATAATAATCATTAATAATAATAATAATAACAATAATAATAACACTAACAATTTATATAATTATAACAAGAATGAGACATCTTTCTTTAAGCTGGTTGCAATAGCCCTACTTAGCATATCAAATAGGCTTATAGTAAACGTAATCACACAGTCTGTCGGAGCATCCTACTTAAAGGCTAAGTCCACTCCAAAAATAATGTGCTTTTGATAGATTGTTGATAAATTTGAGTAAAATCGGATAACTAATAACAAAGTTATGAATCGTTGAAAAACTTTGAAAAAGTATGAAACGATGGAAAGCACTACACAAATAGTCAATTTAGTTATCAGTATGTGACGTCATTGCTTCACTATTTATGAATTGCTTTATATATTTTTATCCCATTAATTTTGTTTTCATCCCGAAAAAATTGATTTCCCATGCCTTTGCCCGGGTAGATGATTTGTACTATATTGTATGCATGACATTTCACAAAATCTCTTATGAACTTTGAAGAATTGAAACTATTTTCAGAATATTGAATATTAATGATTATTAATTTTTATTTTAAAAAAATATCAAAACTCATATTTTTCATGATTTAACTTATATTATTATTATTATTATTATTATTATTATTATTATTATTATTATCAATATAAATTGCCTGCTGGTGTGAGGAAATAAGATTCTCAGGGGGGAAATGGGAGATTCGTATTATTAATATAAAGAAAACAACTAGGGGAAAGTGAGGCAATGACGTCAAAGACTCATGAGTGAGTTGCCAATAAGTCTTGTGATTTTCAAAGTTGTTCATGACATCAAAAATTCATAACATTCTTATTAGCTATCCGATTTTGCTTAAACTTTTTTTGATTGGTTTGTCTGATTTTCTGCCTCTATTAAAAGTAAATTATGTTTTAGAGTTGACTTGCCCTTTAAGGTTGAGCTGGTCCCTCCATCCCCCCCCCCCCCCCCACCACCACTTCCCATTCATGTCTACTTGAAGGCCTAGACAAAATTATATTGAACATGTTTCTGTGATATCATTTTTTGTCTCCCTCTCTCTTAATTTATATTTTCCTTTTCTTGCTTCCTTGCTTAGTGGTTGTTAAATTAAAACTAAAGAGCTGCTAATACAGGCCTATATAATTCAGTCATCATCGTTTGCTTTGTTCACAAAAAGTGTCCAGAGGTATTAAAGCACTATAAGAATTTCTTACATTTTGGTCGTTCTCCTCCACGTAATCGCGCACTTGGTGGGTGAAGTCGACATCGATTGCGAGGCCGACGCAGGTGTTGGAATCGTGGGAGCCTATGAACATGACAGACTGGTGAAAATTATGAAGGAGAAAAAAAGAGGAGCATAGGAAAACAATAAGTAAATTATGACTCTCTTTGCTATCATAATGATGGATTAGAGTGAGGGCATACTGGTATGGATTGCTCATACGCGATCGCACAGACTTTCGAGGTACCATTTCCAGAAATTACCTCCAATAATCCCATTCTATATCCCCATAAGATTCTTGTTCGGAGTAATAATACGTCGCCTGAGATGTTCCCACCTTGCGATAGGTGATGGGCAGGGCTATGCTATTGATATTTCCTATATAGGCCTAGGTTGATATTCGAAAGTCTTTGTGATCGTCTTGAAATTAGAAATATGTAAAGAGTTTTTTTTTAATATGAACCAAGTATTTTGTTCAATTCTTTCTATAACAGATACAATATATTATGAATTCGTTTTGTTCCCTTCCCATTGATATATACTTAGGACTGGGGGGGGGGGGGTGGGGTGGGTAGGGCATATCCGGCCCCAACCCCACCCCCTATTATTTGAAAAGTAAGTGGCATATCTTTAGTACACAAGTCGAGAATTCTTATGACCACCCTTTCGGGTGATGGGTTTTTCGCGGGTAAAAATTTGGAGTAAAATAGACACCAGAAAATCATTGGACCTAATTAAAATATGGCCTTGTTTCATAAAACATGTTAATAATTACAATATACAATCATTGTTATAAGCTACTGAAATCCTAAGTTACTAAACACATTCTTTCATTCATAAATATGTGGCAGTTTTTATTGAAAAACAGTTTTATAAAACGGGCCACAGGTTAAACTTGTCAACTTTTTTGAAGAGGAGGCATACACTCAAGCCCAGTGTCACAGGAGGCGTCGTTTGATTGACGTAGAACTGCGTCAACAACTATAGAGGGCTTCATATACAAGGGTGACAGGTATCAATAGATATCGTACAATTAATTAATGCGAAACGAACAGTCAGTGTACACACTAACTTGAATAATTGGCGCATGGGTCAATTTCATTCACGGGATTAATTAGCGCAGCTATAATAGCGCAAGAGCAAAATTTCGCCTCGTGTGCAAAAGGACTTACCCGGTCGAGGTCCACCGCGATGGTGGCAGCGACGGAGCTCTCGGTGATGTTTGCTGGAGCGTCGATTAGAACGGTGTTAGATTGTCTGTCGTAGTCGAAGACTTCCGTCAAATGATCACCCTTTGCGGTCGTCAAGTCAACCCTCTTGACCTGATATAAATAATGGAAAGATAAGGATAAAGTCGCTGAATTCAAACCTGATTTCAGCATCTGTTGCTCGGAGAGAAGACTTTTGAAGGAGAACAAACGTCATAATCTAACGACGCATCACTCTCTCTCTCTCTCTCTTAACTATTAACCACACATATATTGTTAAGCGTGGTTACATTCTTTCCTCCTCTATACCCCCTCTATATTCTCTCTCTCTCTCTCTCTATATATATATATATATATATATCGCTTTTTCTCTGTCTTTCTATCTATTTATATATATTTCTATTTTCTTTTCTTTTCTTTTCTTTTTGTAAAAAAAAAAATGGGAACAGGTGCCCCTACCCGCCAGCCCCATATTTATGCCACTGGTAAACAAAACAAACTTACCTTGTTTCCACTCATGGCCATAGGTTGGGCCACCTGGTCACCCCCAGGTGGGCAAGTTGTCACGGGGTACCCACCGCTTCGAAATATGATTGCCGCTGCGATCAACCCACAGGCCAGCACCGCCGCGGTAAAAACGGCTGCTATAGCGCTCCAATAACCGCGGCTAGATCCGTGGTATACGCGTGGTGACACTGGGAATTGAGGTGGCATGTACTAGGACAAAAAAGAGGGTAGGATTTTCAGATAATTTTGGCACTTAGAGAGACCTAGGCATAATAATTATTAGATATACATTTTTTAAATCTCACATTATTTCTCATGTTGTTTCTTCAGTTCAATTCAAATAATTTTATTTCTATAACTCTAACAAAACATGAGTAAATGCGTATATAAAAATGAATAAATGAATTTTTTAATTTAACATAGAAAAAGAAACTGATTAATGATTATAAAATCTCAAATGTCGAGAATTATTCAAAGCATTTTAGGATATGAAATGAATAGGCATATCATAAATTGAGTCGAATTTCGAAGGAAAAAAGAAATCCACTAAAAAGAAGAGCTTTCATTTTGTGTGGATAACTCGAGAAAAAAGGGAGAAAAAAGAAAGGAAGAAAAAAAGAATGAAAAGGAAAAGGAAAAGAAGCATGCGTTTAATTCTTACAAACGTTTGTACAGCCCCCCTCCCCCAAATAAAAATTATAAAAGAGCAATAAATCTTACCTCTGGTATGTTTAATGCTGTCTTGGAGTCCATTCTGCTGGGATACGATATGTGTCGTAAATGTTAAAGAAAGTTAAAGTTGTTGAATAAACCTTGACTGTTCACCCTAAATGATGATTGCGTCCAAATTTACAAGCTTTTAAATGCTTTATTTTGATGGAATCGGGCACGCCCCCTCCCGAATGACACTTTTCTTCCCGAAGTTCATTGGATAATGGTATCCAACCATATAAGTGCATAATATTGCTTTGTTAGATACAAAAATAAAGCTATTGTTTTGGAGGAAGTGTTGAAGGACAAACATATGTGATCAATGTTCTTTTAATCAGGGTCAGCCAACCTTGTCTCTGGATTATTTTTTGGATGAAAGAGAATTGTGTTTTTAATGGGTTTCGTTCCTTCCTTATATCTAGTACGTGAATGACATTTTGTAGTGTAAATGCAATAACCTTTGGGTTTGAAAACTCCGCCATTGTGTCCTCCCTCATATTCTTCAACACTTCCTTTTATTATGGTGGTAGAAATATGAAACATATTACAACACAAAGCTGCTTTGGTTCTTTAAAACTACACTTTTTTTCTTAAGATGAGCACAAACGGGCACACCTTGTAAGGAACAGTGGGACATGTCGGTGAAAAGGTGCATTTTTCATGGGCAATTATTAGTATAAAAAAAGGAACATTCATCAAAGTTACAGCCGGAACTTATAATACTTAACAGGTGGCATGTATCGGAGGTTAAAAAGGGGCATTTTGGGAAGGCAAAGGGGCAGTTATTTGAATTCTAAAAAGGTCACTAGTTAGAAGGGCAAAAGCCACTTATTTGAAAAGAAAATGGACGGTAATCATACCCAAAATTGGGCTTTAGTCAAAGATGAAAAAGTGTACCTACTAGAAGGTGAAAATACACTTACTACAAATAGATACTTGTCAAAGTGTTCGGGGCACCTATCAGATTTGAAAAGGGGCACTTATCAGAGGTGAAAAGGGACAATTATAAGAAACGAGAAGGGGCGCTTATTGTGAAAAAAATGGAACATTTTCCCTACGTAAAATAGGCACGTTGGGGGTACTTGAAAAAAGCTAAGCTTTAATTTTATTTCCCTCTTCATTATTTACTTTAAGTTTCTCTCTTTCTTTCTTACTTCCAATTCTTTCCTTATTTCTTTTTATCTCTGTGTTTACTTTCATATTGTTATTCTTTTCTTTTCTATTCTGTTCATTTAACAAAAAAATTAAATGCCCAGTAAAATCATTTGGTGCATGTAAAGAGATTCGACTTCTATTGCACCCAAACTTTTTCGGTAAACTTTTAAAATGTTTTTTCATTCCTAATAGTAGCATCTGAATGCTTTAAAACATTAATTAGACACAGCATCGGCACAGAAAAGGTTTTGACCTCCTAAGCCATAAGATAACAGGAAAACACGCGATAACCAGGCTCCACAAACCTTCTGATGATTTTCTTCTAAAGCAACAAGGATTCAATAACTGAACAAATTGTTTCACGGTACAAGTACGTTCATTCTCACCTGAAATAGAAAGGGTTTGAACTGTTCACTTATTCCCAAGTGAATATTATGTCACCAGTGACAGGAGGAGGGGACAGGCCTGTGGGAATGCCTTTGTTTTCTTGGTCCCTTGGGGAGCTGAGGGTATAAGGTAAATGATCTAGACGGGGAGCAATATTTGATGTTCGAAAATTTCAGGTCAAGCGAAAACAAAACAAACCAGAACAAGAATTAACCAAACAAAATGTGACAATTAAAACAAATGAAAACACAAAAATCTAACAAACAATATAGCGCCTTGAAGAAAAAAAAAACCTCCCAACGGCTAGCAGGCCTACGCGAAAAAGGAAAAAAAGACATGAATTATCGTTATTCCTAGCGATATAGATATTAAAATGAAACTTGAACCAGGGGGATTTTGAGAAATATATAGGTCTATTTAAACAGAGTATTGGCTTTATTGGCTAAAGCCAGTGCCTCGGAATAGAATTATCTAGATAGATGGCGCTATAGCACGGCCTCACTCTGAAGACAATAGGGACTTTCAAGGCACTGAGACGTCCTTTTAAAGGGATAATTCAGTTCTGTTTTCAGACCGCAAATGCCTTCAAAGTGCATGGTTATTGTTCTTATTGTTATCTATGACATTTATAGTGCCCTTTTAGAACCTAAAATTGCTATGAAGGTAATTTTAGACCCCAAAATGTGTGAAATTTAGCCAATACGATCATACCAATTCAGCTAATCTAACAATACATGGGCCGGCTGGTTGTGCGTAATAAAGCAACACGAAAATGCCAACAAAAAACCAACATCGGCATTGGCTGAAATACGACGTAAAAGGCGTTATTTCGTTTTTGTCAACGTTTTTTTCAAATTTGTCAAAATATCTACTATTTGTGGTGGTACACAAGTATTAGAAATCGTTATATTTCAGCCGTCTCTGAACCGCTTTTGATCAAACAAAGATGATTTTGTCATTTAAATATTATGTTCTTTCAAATTTGACACTCAGTTTTTAATTACCTCACAAAAAAATATTTTGTGTAGCGCCTTATGCAACATAACTCAACTATCCCTTTAAGGAACTGCCAGTGCCTTAAAAGGACGTCACACGTAGCAGTCCACTATGTCGACATGCAAATATTAAAGTCCCTACTGTAACGCACAGCGACTGGCTAGGCTTTGTGTCTGCTAACTATCAGGACATCTGGCTATAGTTAAGTAGGCTGCCTGCAGGAAAGATAGTTTTCTTTGTTGGTATATCATGTTTGGGGATTTTCCCAATATTTCCACAAAGTAGTCATTGGCCGTAAAAGAGGTGGGTGTATATTTCCTGTTATTTTGAACTCTCGTGATCTTTCTTTCCTCATTCGATAGATGTCGTCACCTAAGGCCACGAGGATAAGGATGAATAGAGTCTACAAGAATTATTAAAACGGTATGCATACATATTATATATATGTATTATATAACATTACATTGAACATTAACAGGACATCTATATATAACTATAAATGGTACATTAACAGAAAAACTGGTAAATTACCCTTATCCTAACCCTATCCATAACCCTAAACCTAATCCTTACCCTTACCTTAATCTTAACCCTAAATTCAAAACAATATAACTAATTACACTTATGACAATTGATTAAACCTATTGTTTCTTGAGAGGCCTTTAAGTTTACTCTGCCTGCAAACATACTTAGAGGGTAGGGATTCTATAGTTCAATCGTTAACAAGACATGACAATGTCATGCTAATGACCATGTCTACTTTAATAAGGACTATTTTTTCACTACATATGTCCGTCTAATGACGCTGTAAGATGTAAATATATATATTTATATGTATATATATAATAGAGGTTGAGGGAAGCCGGAGGAGGAGGGAGAGAAAGAGAGAGGGGAAAGAGAGAGAGAGAGAGAGAGAGTGGGAGAGAGAAGGGGGAGTAGAGACTGGAGAGGGAGAAAGAGCGAATGAGAGAGAGGAGAAGATAGAGAGAGAGGGGGAGAGAGGGTGAGCGACGGAGAGAGATAGAGAAAGAAAATATTGCCTCCGACAAAGTCTACGTCGTCAGAACAAAATTGGTCGTATTTCTTTCTATTGTAATATATTATAATCCTGTTTATTATGCATCAGCAAAATATTACAAATCGTAAATACAGAATGAATAATAGACCAGCACCTAAATGAATCGACTTGTGCTTGTGCATGAGGCCCCAATAAAGTTAAACACAATATTGAATTAATGGCGAAGCAAAAACAACCTACCATCAGCAGGTATCACCCATGTATATGCACACACAAATAAACATTAAAAGGGAGAGTTCAGAATGGGAAAGAGAAGAAAGGGAAGAGGTGGAACAGTGAACGAGAAGAAAAGATAGAGGTGGGAATGAGAAAGATAAGTAGGGGAAGAGGTGAGAATGAGAAAGATAAGAAAGGGTCTATTCAGTCAAGGATGAAATTGTTTTAAAAAATGTAACGCGTGAATAGAGTTGTAAAGCGAGTAGGTAAGGAGCTGGATGTAATGCTATTAAAAATGTAATATCCATTGGGAGCTGAACAGGATCAACATAAAGAAGGCCATCGGCCCTGATGACTTGCCAAACAGAGATCTCAATGAATTTTCAACTCTTCTCTAATGCTATGGTCACATTACCCAAAAGTAGCCTGCTCGGCGGCCGAGTGGCGAGTTTTTAGCCAATTTTGCCCGGCCAACGAGCGGCGGCCACCCAGGCACCGCTCGTTTTTAAGGCATCGCTCGGTCGCTGCTGAAGTTTTAGCGCGGAGTTAAAATTTGGGCGGCGCCTGCTCACATTCACGCGCCGCCCAGCCTACACTCGGCGGCCGGGCGGTCGCCGCCCAGGCGCCGACCTAATCGAGCGTTCACCGTCGAGCGATATAGGTCAAAAATCGAAGCCGCTAGGTCAAAGGCTGTCGACCAGTCGCCGCTGGGAGATCAGTCAGTCGCTGGCCAGTGAGTCCAAAATCGGTCGGCAGCCTTTGACCTACCGGCTTCGATTTTTGACCTAAATCGCTCGGCGGCGAACGCTCGATTAGTTCGGTGCCCGGGCGGCGACCGGGCGGGCACCGAGCGTATGTTGGAGCCCCGCCGATCACTGGCCGGCCGCCGTGCAATATCTTTAAAATCAGCCGGCGGCAGGTGGGAGACTATTCGGGAATCGGTGGGTCACCGGTCGGTCACTGCCGGGACACCTCGCGAAAAGCTCCGCGATTTCCCCTAATTTTGACCTAAAATCGACCGGCGACCGACTGGAAATCGACAGGGCACCGCCCAGGCGCCGCTGGGACTTTACAGCCTGCTCGACTTCTCCAAACAAAAAAAAACGCTGGGCAATGCCTAAATTCCAGCGGCGACCGAGCAGGCTACTAATCGGTCGGTCGCCGCTCTGATTTGTGACCATAGCTTAAGGGAAGGCAAGGTCCCTCGATCTGGAAAGACGCAAATTTTGTTCCCGTGCCAAAAGAGAAACATCCTGTCAGCACAAAACTCAGGCCGTGTCGCTAACATCCGAATGTGCGAAAGTTTGTGAGGGTTATGGCTAAA